TTCCAAACTATGCGATAACACATATTTGCTAACGAAGGTAGTGACGGTCTTAGGCATTGCAGGAGCATGCCGTTCTGATGAGTTATGCAAACTTACTTTGGACAACGTCAATTTCAAAAATTTCGATGACATTATTGTAGTTACAATTATTCCAGATTCTAAAAATGGTATGTCACGTACGTTTACAATTACTTTTCATCTAGGTTCTGTTTCTCACCTAGAAATTCTCAAGAAATATATTAAGTTTAGATTGGAAATTAAAACTGAAATTTCACGCTATTTTATGCGCTATCAAGCAGGTAGATGTTACAACCAGCCAGTCGGCAAGAATACCCTTTCTATTATGCCTAATAAGATTGCACAGTTTTTGAAACTAGAACATCCTGAAACATATACAGGCCATTCATTCCGAAGAACCCCGGCAACGTTACTACATCAAATATTTCTATTTATTTGTTCATAAAATATGCATTTATAACTCGAAATCGCTTTTTTCCCTAGGGAGGTAAGTTACCTCACTTACCTCCCGTTGTCCATAGTAGCTTCCACTTCTATGGTAAAATCCACTTACATCCTTTAAAAAAAATGTATTAATAGTCTATTTACTATAGTGGGAGCAGATAAACAAAATTACCGGTCACGCGACTTGTAATCATTTATGAAAGCTCTGTATTTGCAAAAAGAATTGAATTATTGAATCCATTCAACTATTTTATTATTTTTTTAAGGGCCAAAAGGACGCTCAGCTCCAGCACGGAGGCCTCCCTAGAAATCGACGCCCTCTTCGACGGCCTCGACTTCTACACCAAGATATCCAGAGCACGATTCGAGGAGCTTAACGCCGACCTGTTCAAGGGCACGCTCCAGCCCGTGGAGAAGGCCCTCAACGACGCCGGCATGAGCAAATCCGACGTCCACGACGTCGTGCTGGTCGGGGGTTCCACCAGGATCCCCAAGATCCAGTCGCTCCTACAAAACTACTTCAACGGCAAGAGCCTGAACCTGAGTATCAATCCGGACGAGGCGGTGGCCTACGGCGCCGCCGTCCAAGCGGCCATCCTGAGCGGGGACACCAGTTCCAAGATACAGGATGTGCTCTTGGTCGATGTGACGCCGCTGTCTTTGGGTATCGAGACTGCCGGTGGGGTTATGTCGAAGATAATCGACAGGAACTCCAGGATACCCTGCAAGCAGACGCAGACGTTCACCACGTACTCGGACAACCAGCCGGCGGTCACCATCCAGGTTTTTGAAGGGGAGAGGGCGATGACGAGGGATAATAACTTGTTGGGTAATCCATTTTTATGCCTAGAGTGGATGGAAGCTATGAGCGAACTATTTGGCAGGTTATCTTCATAAAAGTAATGGTACAAGTTTCTAGTCGGATGCTTTTTCGGATATTCACTGTTTTTTAAATTTTGTACAATTATGCTCTTTATTTTGCGGGAAACAGCTACTCCGCGGACTAATGACACGATCAGCATTGATCGGCAATATCTAGTAAACAGCTAGGATCATTTGTCAGTCTTACCCACCAGACATATACCGGTTTCGAACTTATTCTCATCAGTATGCCATAAGTGGGAGAACCAACGAACGATCCTGCTATTTTTGGTGTTTTAACTAAAAACATGGAGTGAGTGTAGGTGAGATGATGTTATATCGATATATCGATTTTCAAACGGCCAAACTAGCAGAGAGCGACCTGCTATTTCGCAAGAGCTGACGCGATTAAGCGAAATAATTATTTTTAAACTGATGGTTTTGCGGGAGACAACTGCTCTGCGGGCTAATGCCCCGATCAGCACTGAATTATACCAACAATAAACAGTAAACGTTTATTAATAGTAATCAACTGCACTTACATAAAAAAACATAAAAAGACTATTATTTACTTCAAAATTGATTATTAAACTGAGAAAAAAATTGTCATAAACATGGATCCGAAAATGTTTCGTTTCCCAGATACGGGGTGTTAAAGTTTTCTGGAAACTTCATATTTGTGCAAATATCCCTTAAAGATGTTTGACGTACATTAAAAACCCCAGAATTTCGACGTCACTCAATATTTGAAGAAAAAAATCAAATTTATTCGAAAACTTAACCATTTTCGAGTACTTATTATTATTTTTTTAGGTTAAATAAACTTGCCACACAGTAAAATAAATCGAAAATAATTCTAAAAGTGTTCGTTTCAGAAAAGAAATATGGGAATTTTTTATTTCAAAAGCAATTCTAAAAACAATGGAATCATTGAAAAGTTGGAAAATTATATGTCTCCTGCAAAAGTCCTTTTATATCTCCTAATTTCAAAGTTGTTTTATTTCGTACACGTATTTCGTATCCACATCAGTTCAGTGGGGTTAAGCTCACAGTGGTGTAGTGNTGAGAAAAAAATTGTCATAAACATGGATCCGAAAATGTTTCGTTTCCCAGATACGGGGTGTTAAAGTTTTCTGGAAACTTCATATTTGTGCAAATATCCCTTAAAGATGTTTGACGTACATTAAAAACCCCAGAATTTCGACGTCACTCAATATTTGAAGAAAAAAATCAAATTTATTCGAAAACTTAACCATTTTCGAGTACTTATTATTATTTTTTTAGGTTAAATAAACTTGCCACACAGTAAAATAAATCGAAAATAATTCTAAGTGTTCGTTTCAGAAAAGAAATATGGGAATTTTTTATTTCAAAAGCAATTCTAAAAACAATGGAATCATTGAAAAGTTGGAAAATTATATGTCTCCTGCAAAAGTCCTTTTATATCTCCTAATTTCAAAGTTGTTTTATTTCGTACACGTATTTCGTATCCACATCAGTTCAGTGGGGTTAAGCTCACAGTGGTGTAGTGGCAATCGAAGTAGTGTAACACTGCGAGTTATTTTATCCACTACATTTCTTTCCTTTTTGTGAAATTACTTTTAACACATTCAATATGTTTTCCATTTAACCATTCCGTGGTTCCCTTTCTCCATGCAGATGTTGACAATTTTTCTAGTTGTCGACCATGGTAAGGCGCATTATCTATGGCTATCACTACACCAAGTTTGACGTGAGGCAAAATAGATGCAAACTATTTTTCAATATCCTGATCGTCATAACTCGAACATATGTAAACTATTATTTATCCAAAAATCCGATTTCCTTCTTATACGTGTAATTATTAGTCGCCATTTTTTCCCCAAGGGGTCCTTTAAACCCATAGAAAATCCTATTAAAAAATACATTTCGTTTTCTAGATGGAAAACCAAAATTTTCCCCTATTATTTTCTATAAACTCTCTTTCTATTTCTTTCATTTCTATTAGCATACTTTACGTTTTCAGTAACGACTCATGTTTTTAATTTTTTTTTTTAATATTAAAAGTCATTTTTACTCGTAAAATAGAATCCATGTATCTTGCTACAGACCGCAATTTCTATTTTTTTTTCTTACAACTTGTATAGTTTTCTTTTGCTTTTTCTTGGCCTATTAAATACGAATATTTACGACTATCTTGATTATGAATTGGCTACTAATACTCACACACCAAACCACTCTTTAACAACATTTATTGGAATAACAAATGCGAACATAATGTCACCTCTCTCACATTTGTACGCTTATGACACGCATTGACATGTATCAGCTGGAAACCGTCACATTCAAGAAGTCAATCGTCTAGAATTTTCCAAGAACGCGCGCGCAGGCCGAACATATCGGAACACTTTGCGAAATGAAGGGCACATTACAATTTCTATGCAGAAAATACACAAAATTAATTTGTTAGTTTGAGAAGTAGTAAAAATTGTGATTTGATTTATTTATGGCTCTACTACCTACCATTTTGGCGTCGGAGTATAGCATTTTGATGATTTTTTTTCAGTAATTGTACCAAATTTGAAAAAAATCGTTCTTCTGAGAAAAAAAAATTATAGCACAAACTTGTATTTATTGAAAAGTTACTTTGAGGTTATGTAACCCTATTAGCATCGAACTTTCGAAAAAGTGTCGCAGAGACTTTTACCATTGTTTTTCTGACTAGAATCGCCTCCTCAATTATCTGCTCGTAGTTCCCGGACGCCCTGCTCATATTAATATTTCTTTTACCACGTCTTCCCTTTCAGGAACTTTCGATCTGTCGGGGATCCCCCCGGCGCCCCGCGGCATTCCCAAAATAGACGTCACCTTCGACCTGGACGCCAACGGCATCCTGAACGTTTCCGCCTTGGAAAACAGCACCGGCAACTCGAAGAAGATCACCATCAATAACGACAAGGGCCGGCTCTCCCAGAAGGACATCGAGAGGATGCTAGCCGAGGCGGAGCGCTACAAGGAAGAGGACGACAGGCAGAGGGAGAGGGTCGCGAGCAAGAACAGCCTGGAGAGCTATGTGTTCAGCGTCAAGCAAGCCGTGGAGGATTGCGGGAACAAGCTGAGCAACGAGGACAAGATGAAGGTGCAGAAGGAGTGCGACAACTGCATCAAGTGGTTGGACAGCAACCAGACGGCGGAGAAGGACGAGTTCGAGTATAAGCTGAAGGAGATGACCAGGACGTGCGGGCCGATCATGACGAAGTTGCATCGGGGCGGGGGGCAGAAGTCGGGAGACGACGGACCTACTATCGAGGAGGTCGACTGAGCAGTTGATTTGTATTTCTTCTTCAATCAGTTTTGTATGTTTTTAGTATATTAAATATTTATTGTTTCTTTTTTGTTTTATTTCTCATTTCAATTTTTATTTATTTTTTTCTTTGTTCTTTACTTTTATTAAATTTTCCGTTAAAAAAGCAGTGTTTTTCTTTTTTTGTTGTTTTTTTTAATTCGTTTCAAATTTATTATTATAATACAGTGAAATTTAGTAGCAGTAGTCTCTTCTTCCAACGTAGCCTTAACCTTGATCGAAGAAAACATCTTCCAGATCAAATTTCAACATAACTTCCATCGTGAGCATGTTTTCCATAAAATTTTATGAAGGTACTTAGCTAGGTCTACTTGAGAGGAAAGTATTGGGACGGTGCATAAGTTCGTAGCGTTTTTTGTTTCTACAGCAAAGAGTGCCATGAAAATCAATTGTTGGACATGACAGACGTTGTTTCAGTGCCATACTTGATTGATTTGCAAAAGTAAGTGGAGCACCAAGCAGAAAAAATCGAGCATTTACGACAAATCTAGTATTTCCCTTCGACCAGCAGGACTTCCTCAAGGGTCCATACTTGGACCTCTCCTATTTGTTATTTTTATCAATGATATCGTGAAAAATATACAATATACCTCACCATACCTCACTTAATAACCGGTGTGACAAAAACGAATTACCTTCTGGCAAGTGTAGCCTCATGTATTTTCACAGCAAGAAAGTAACTATAACATTGGATTACATGGACGTGCCCTCAAAAAGTCTACCAGTGTTGGACTTAGGCCTCATTTTTGACGAAAATAGATTTCTCGTTTCAAAGAAGACCATTTTGAGATGAACAATTATTCATGTTCAGGGAAATCAGCTAACTTTGATGATCCACATCAATTAACCCCAGAATTGGTGGGTATGATAGACTAATCGCCCATAAAACGACATTTGCATTACGTGGGGTAAGTTCATAAATTGGGTGTATGGCTGCCTCATATTTGGAATGCAAACAACAGAAATCGGCATGTCAATAGTTGTGCCTCTTTGCTGGCCACATAGCTTAGCACTAATAGAAAGGTAACTCCCCGAGCAAAAACTTCGGATAAACTGACATGTAACTAGTATGACAAAGGAGGCGAATGTAATCACCATTGCTGAGGTTGATTGCCAACAACTCCATTGTCTTAAGGCTACAATCATAAAAAAGAAGGGAAATACATCATCCAGTGATTTTGCAGTATAATAATAATAATAATAATAATACATTTATTTACAGAAAAAAAAAACAGTTAACAAAAAGAAAGTTAGATTTATATTAATTCACAATCTGCAACAAAGACTGAAAAAAAAACATGGTTACCTGCTGGACAAGTTGCAACCTTACATACTTCAGTATTAACTAAGAACAAAACTAATTCTATAGAGAAACAACAACAATAACAACAACAACAAAAAAAGACAAATTAAACAAATTCAATTAACTTAAAGTATTCCACCGCATGAGAGAATAAGGAAAATATTGGTAATTCCCACCCTCATCCCGTCAATATCACAAAAGCTGTTATTCGAAACTTGGATTAGGACGTTATTCCACATCCGCCCAATTCTCCTGATCTCGCTCCATCACATTTCTATCTCTTTCTTCGAGGAACCTCCTTTATGACGACGGCGCACTTAAAAATTAGCTTTCCAAACCACCAAACCACTAGATTTCTTCAAGTGTCGATTAGCAAATCTGCCAGATCGTTGGGAGGCAATCGTAAACAATGGAGGAAAACATGTTCTTAATTAGTTCTTTTATTTTGTTTATTAGTTCATGTATTTTATTTATTAAAAGAAATAAATTCTGAATTCAGAAAAAACGCTACGAACTTTTGAATGCAGAATTATTTACCGAGTACAGATATTTTCTATTTTTTTTTAAATTTTTCTAAGTGTAAATACCCCATAGTTTGTTTATACTTATTGTTAATATTTAATAGCAAAACCTTCGAACCATGAAATCTACTTTGTCTTTGGTGATTTTTGAGATATGACGAGTCAAACAAAAAATTCAAAACATATGTAATAAAATTTATTATAAATTATAAAAAATTGAAGAAAGTTGATATAACACTATCAACTTTTCAGAAGAAATACGAAATAGTATTATAAGAAAAGTAGCGATACAGATGACAAAGAAATATGTAAAAAATTAAAGAGAAATAAAATTGGTTTCAATGTTTGAACACACGATAACATTATTTAGCAATAAAATATTGGATTTGAAAGAAATATGTAACAGTCGTGGAAATAAAAATAGAAAGTAATTTCTACCGATTTTGGCAGACGCTTTTATTAGTGTCGATGTCAGAGGTTTTATTTGTCTTGAAATCTGAACTATTTATGTGCGATTTTTATCATCTTCATTAGAATTTTTCTGGCTGTTCTGTTTAAAATCATCTTATCTGTTTACTAGATATGGAGGATGTAATTCAATGCTGGACGGGGCTTTAGTCCGCAGAGTAGGTAGTTATTTCTCACGCTATCATTATTCTATTGAAATGAATACAAATAATTGCTTTATTCGATATTTTAATAACGTCCTTGTTGGTTAAAATTATAATGTTTTTTTGGCATTAGTACTTCTCCCAATATCGCAATTTTTTTAAATGCACATTTTTTTGTTGTACAGTCTTGAACAAATAAATATTACCCATCCAAAGCATTTAAAAGGAACAAAAATCTCGTTTTATAAAGAGCCATGAGTAGTTTAGGTCGGAAACTTTTTATTGTCCACAGCTATACAAGAATCGTAAGAGGTTATACATATGCTGTTTAGCGTGATACTTTATTAATTTGTAGTATTATATACTCAAATATTTGTTTAGCTACGTGAATAAATCAATATTTTGTAGAAATAATAAAGAAAAATTCTTGCAACATTGAAGTGTTTTGATGCTAAACCTATATGTAAATATAACATAAGAGGGCAATTTATTTCAAAACATTTTTAATTTCAAGGCCGTTGCGATTATTCTTATGCAAATTCCAATTCGTCCAATAAATGCAAACTCTGAAGAACAAATATAAATTCTTCATTTGTCCTCGCATTTTCAAAAGAGAAAGTTTGTTCACCAAATCTCAATACGTAGCTAGATTTTGAGAAAACAAAAACCATAAAATTTTTCATTCGAATTTATAGTTTTGGTCCCGAATTTTCAGTTATGCAAAATATTTTGTTTCATGTTTCTGTGAGATATATGCTGATTTTGACAATTTTTCATAAAGCTTTGTAAATTACGATGACACTTCACGCGATCTGGCGCTATCTGCGTCGCATCGAATGGCGTCACGTGTATAATAGAACATGTCACTGTCTGTCTTTTTTAATAGCTCAAAAAAAAAGTATACGTGTTTATATGAAAGCAAAAATAAATAAAAATAATAAAAAAAAATAAGACCAAAAAGGATGCCTTACCTTTCTTACAAATATAGTATGAAGGAGTAGCGCCAGTGCTTATGGTGCTCTGTGCGTACTACCGTAAGCAGATGGGCTTGCAACAATAAATAAAAAGTTATCAAAAAACTTTGTAATCAATAATAAACCGTTAAAAGCAGTACAAATAAATAGAATGTTTATATGCTTGGTCAGTGGAATCCAAATGGTCCTCTATCAATTAATAAAATCAGTGCGTACAAAAAAGAAACGATAAAAACAAAAACAAGAGAATACATGGCGGAAAAAGATAAGTTTTTTTAAAAAGAAGTAAAAAAATGTATGTTGTGACTAATAATTAAAAAAATCCTGATATGAATAAAAACAATATTGCACTAGGAACTTTAATATTTTAATTTTAAAAGCATTTAAGTTATTTATGCATTTAAGAGACTGCGGCAACTTATTATAAATCTTAATTCCCATAAAATATGGACCCCGTTCGAATGTTGTCAATATATGAGGTGGAACTGCCAAAGCATTACCACAGCGGGTAATTTAAAGCATATATTTTGTTATGGTTAATCAATTTCTCTTATTTCTAACTGATATTTCCCTTAGTTAATTGATAACAGTGACGTTTAATTGTATCTTGTTAATAATTTTGTCTCTTATCGAGGAAATCATCGGTACGCCTATGGTCTTTAACATAATTCTTCTCCAAGACACGGGGCGTACCTCCTGAACTAAATTTATAGGAACCTACCTAGCAGCTACTTACTTTTGAATTATTGAATCTCTGGACGGCAGGATTCCTGATATAATAAATGGTGGTTGCTATTCCAACCGCTTTCCTTTTGCTATAGACCGAATTGATCACAAAATTACAGAGTAGTTATTAAGTACTTCCTGATAATAAAGAGGGTGAATGTTATTATTTGTAGGAAAAAATGTATCTAAAAACATAAGATATAAATGTTTTATTTCTCGAAATATATTGCGTGTTAAAATTTTTAAAAAATCTCATCAATCTAAATATATCGAAAGTATATCGAAAGACGTTTAACGGAGATTCATAAAATTTTACTGGTGATTTAATCAAGTAAAGATAAAAATTACGAATTATTATGAAATTATATACCTACAATTATACCAGAGTCCTACCTAGACAATGAAAAGTACCATCGACGCCACTGAAACTATTCTAGAAATTCCATTCAAGTGTGTGGATAAATTTATTTTAGACTAAAAATATTAACTCGGATATGTTTAATTTATTTTTCTTTAATTAGGAATCATATTAATTGATATAATTTCCAAAATACTCAGTGGAATAGAAATTCTGAAGTTTTTAGTGATTGTGTCCCAATATCTTCTCCACTCCCACTAAACACGAAACGTAAATCAAACGTTGCAAATGAGCTGTTTTACTACACATTTGAAACAATAACTAGAAACGTTGCTGTTTCATTACAGAAATGTAGCACTTGAAAACTTACTTAGTGAAACATAGCCGAAACATTCCAATTGAAGAGAGTTTGAAACATTACTCGAAACATTCCCTTTCGATCTCGGAAACGTAACAACGACAAACAAACAACCCTTTGCTTTTGTTTATCTTATGGAACTTTCATTCCGC